TCATCTTCATCATCATCCATCATCACCATCATCACCATCATCACCATCATTTCCATCATAATCATCGTCGTCATCGTCATACAATGAGGGGTCATGAGGGTTGATGATGGTTCATGCACCCGGGGATTTAAGGTTTAGAGTTTAGGGTTTAGGCCTTAGGGTTAAGGTTTTCGGGGATCAGGGATTTAGGGCTAAGGTTTAGGGGTTTGGGCTTAGGGCACATGCTACATCAACAGCGATCACTGTAAAATGGGGGGTCCTCTGTCGAGCCCGGGCCTGAACTCTGTAAAATGAGGGTCCCAGGGCACCTAATAGGCACTAAAAAATCGTTTTACAGGCCCCCCGGGGGCCCCCATTCTACAGAGGTAATGTGAAGGGGGATTGTATCCCCAATATCTACCCTATTATAACATAGTAGTTTCCATTTCCCATTATCCCAATACATCTCCAAAAGCCTCCGTCTTGGCAGTGCTGTGTCTCGCCGTCCTTTTCCATCCGGGCCGGAGTTCTGCTCCATAACAAAACATAAGACGAGCACGTCAGGAACAGCTGAGAGAGCTGCATTACTGAATTCTGCATGCAGCTCGTATCCCATAAGCCTTAGCAACAGGAACTGAAGGCGCCAAGCATAAGCAATCTTGTAGCGAAACTAGGGAACTAAGCTCACGACTCAGCACTGTTGGAATGGTGTCAGAGCAGGTGGCGGACGATTCAACATTGCAAGCCAGAATTCGCAAGAGTGGCAAATGCTTGGACAATCCATCCTGCAAGCAATGTGTGCCAATCGTTCATCGATCGTTGTCATTATCAGCCTGCGCCAAGCAGATTCCTTTCAGCCAAAAGCTTCATCGGACAGCAGGGCACACGCAACTGGATATGAACATCATCAAAGATGCCGCACACCGCTCATGTCCATCAGAGTCATTTGACTGCTTTGTAGCGAAGTCTTCGACGCAACCCCCTAGTCTTGCCACGGGCAAAAAAAGAGTGCAACTTCACTTGTTGCTTGGCATCGAATTCTACGCAAGCAAGTCCCCCCTCCACACCTGAGGTCACCTCCTTCAAGCCCTTAGATGCATATTTCCAGAGAAGACAGAACTGTTGCGAGAACATAATGTGGAGGGAGAGCAATTAGAAGCATGGACGAGCCTGAACAGGGGTCTCGAATCTCACATTTTGAATGGAAACTCTTTCTGGAGTCGCATGCGGCTCGAAGCTCTCACCACCTGTCGCTGCCAGCAGACTGTCCTACAAAAATTGGACTTCGTTCGCATGTACCTCCGGCGCGTTTTCGCGACTTCGTCAGCTGCTTCATCCAGCCTCAGCACTAGCTGCTCGTCCTTCACAGCTTAGCATCACGCAATTCCAAATGCTGGGTCTAAAGCCGCGCTTCTTCCTCTGGTGTCAGCTTCCATCCGCCTTCTGAACCTACGACAGCAGACAAGTTGGCAGTCATGCTGACCCAGCGAAGAAAGAAATGCCTGTGCATCCAGCAACTGCTTTGGCATTGGTGGAGGTCGTGACCTTTTGAGAACAGGAAGCCGCGGTCAGCTACCGAGAGCGCAGGTAAAAGGCGCACATCGCAGAGTGGGCTTGCCCCCTTGCTGACGACCCACTGCAAAGCAACCTGCATCCCAAGTGCAGAAGGCCTTCCCCTCAAGTGCAAAAAAAAAAAAAGAGAATCATGAGCCTGCGTGGTGTCAATGTTCGGCTTCTCACAGCGTGACCTTCAAGGATTCCGGCACAGCTGACAATACCGACTTCTCGCGTGGGGTGTGACAGAAACAGTTTCACCCTTCCCTCAAAACCTCGCATGCTGCTCTGCTGTGAGACGTCTGCAAAACCTATGCAGATTTGGATAAAGTGTGTTGCCCGTTCTTGCTGCGCTTCCTGGCGTCGAAGAGTGTAAAACCCAGAAGATCTAGGAGCGAAGAGGCTGCCAGTAGCTGTGGGTGGGATCTACTAAGATTGGGAACTCAGCCTGAGAATCCTGCGTCATCCTACCCTGAACGGTGAGGTTATCCTCTCTCGTGTCTTGTGCGTCTCCCACACCGTTTTGCAAGCCGGGCTTTGAGTAAAGAAATCTGAATTTCGATGGTTACTTGTACGGTCTCTGTGCATTTGCATTGACTCATAATAATTCAGACCCACCTTTTAAAAGGCCTACATATTAGGATCCGTATTATGATCCCTATCAAGGGGAGGGGGTTTATTAATCAGGGGTCTGGGTTACTCCCCTAGCATGCCCTAGCACGGGAATCGACATCTCCAAAAGCCGGATGGATTTCCATTGCTTCCTAGTACTACCCCGAGGGCTGGAACCCACATGTTCGGGAGACGGCTGGATTTCGTGTACAGGCCTTGTACTGGAATCCACGTTTGCAGGATTTCGTTCTGTAGTGGTACCCACGTTTCCGTGAGGTAGCTAAATTTTGGCTGGATTTCTGTTGTTTTCTTAGACTGGCTTCGCACTGGAAATTACATGTCCGTGAATCAGACTTTACGTACTCACCAAATGCGGAGTGAGCCAGCTGGATGCTCGTTCTCAATTTGCTTCAACCGGGAACGGGCATGCTGATCATGAGCGTTTTATGCCAGGCTTCGAGCCGCGGTTTCCGGCATGAGCGGATTCGCTCTGATTGGTAGCTTTTGCGCTTTGACATGCTGACCCTCAAGTTGGTGGCTGTAATTAGGGCCCGTTGCCAGCGCAAGCTTCTTCCCCTAAGTGGCTTGAATACTCATGCCTGGGATCTGCCCTCAGATATTATCGCAGGGTCACATCAGCTCTGGGCTTGCCTTCCAGCATCTTCCAGCGATAATTCAGCCTTGGAAGAGATCCTGGTTCTCCAGGTCGCTGCAAAAGACACCGAATGCCAGTCCGCCGATGCTTCCAAGCAAAGGACTTCCCTGACTTCCCGGGTCTTCAGCTTCAGCTGGATCCGTTGGTCTATCATTGCTGTCGTTTTCTGCAAGCGATGCATGTCTGTTGTCTTACGAGTAGCGAAGCAACGCGGTCAGTTGCTGCTTGTTCACGGCATCCGCAGTTTTGTTTGCTGCCCGTGCTATGGGGGGTATCAGCAGCTCTGCCTATGCAGCCAGCTCACAGGCCATACGGCTCGTGGGCTCTGATGATGGCAGCTTCATGCTTCAGTCTTCCTATGTTGACTCAAAAATAATTCAGCTATTGTGCCAAATTCTGATCTTTAATGCTGGAACTTGACCCGTGTCTCGTGATGAAAGTCTGCTTCAGCCAACAGGGTTTTCTTCCACAAGGAACTCTGAACTTCACATCTTTACATAAAGATGAACACAAGAAGAGGCTCAATCCTTTGGGCCTTTTTTTTCGCAGGGCTAACCATCCATCCCTCAACTCAAGTATTGACACGACCTAAGCATCCGGCCTTAGCCCTCGTGCCACCTCCTCCAAAGCATCGTGAAGTGGCCGCAACCTTGGAGTCACAACCAACTGGACCGCATGCGCCGAGAAGCACCCCCTACGTTGGCCACGTTTTGAGGGTAGCACGGCATGAGCTGCGCCAGGGTGAACCGGGGTACTGAAATCTCGCCGCCTGTGGCGCCGCACTTGAACTTGAAAGGAAAGCAAGACACTGAAGAAACCGCCTGTGGGATTGGCAGCGGTGTATCGGCCAGACCTTGTACAACACAGCACACAAGCTGCAGGATGCTGCATGCCAAAAGCCAGATCCTGTTCCAGGCTGCAGACGCAAGCTCATCTGGACCGAGAACCTCCGTCGCGAAAACCTGCTTTTGCATAACGAGGCAAAGCCGGTCCGAGAGATTTTTAAAGCTTGAGAACAGTCCTGGAGACCCTCAGCGCGACAATCTTTGACCAGCTGTACAGCCTTCACATATTTCATGTATGGAGCAATAACTGTTGTGCTGCACTTGGGCTCGCGAGCACCTGGCCTCCCGCTGAAGCAAGGACAGCTTCACAAAGACCTGGAGCATGAAGCTACGCTGGTGAATGGATGCCAGTGTATGGCAGTGCAGCTTTTTGAGGCGTCAACACATGACAGCCTGAGAAGAGGAGCACAAACCGAACACAATTGAACTCAGCATTTTGACAAACCTTTGCCACCAGGTGGCGTGGCACCGCGCCTTTCCAACTCCTGGCTTGAGGACCATGAGACGTTGCGTTACGGCACCCAAGAACCAGTGCACCCAACGCACCCGTCCTGGCGGGCCTGCTGCACTGACTTGACGTCAGCGTTTGGATGACTGACGCCGATTCGCGAACACAGCCCTTTCCTCAGCTAGGCTGATTCCAAGCATGGTTTACAGAAGTGGGCAGTTGGGTGCGAAACTGGTAGGCCTCAACGACAGCATCATAGACCTCAGAAAGTGGTTATTCGCCTGTCAATCAGCCTGGATTCTGCAGATTTGACCAAGAATGGCACCCAGAAAGGAAAATGCATCCGTCCTGTAATGTCAAATGATTACATAGCCATCGTGCGAAACAATAGCATGTGTCAGCTTCCTTGACCAAGGCTATGTATAGTGAGCGTCTCAATTTCGCCCACACTGAGCCTGTCAGAGCCAATGAGTCATGTGGTCCATGCTTGTTTTATGTTCCGGTTGCCGTTTCATGTTCAATTTCATGTTCCATTTGATTCGGAATCATAGTAGTTTCCTTGTTTGTTTCCATTCCCTGGTCCCTAAACACTACGCTATTCTCGATTCCGTGTCCTTTTCCATGTCCTCTTCGTTTCAATGCCAGCCTCTTCATAGTCTGCTGCAGAGGACTGAGGACCTGCAGGAGGTGTGAATTCACTGATTTCGGACACCGTGCCTCTGCCCCGCCGAGTAGTGCTGAACCACACTTCTGTGGACAATGTAGCCCAATCCTGCAACTCAGCGAGGATTTCGGAGGAAAGGTAGACGAAACCACGGCTAGGGGGCCGGTCCTAAAGTCGGTTTGGGCGCCACCCGAACAGAGAAGCGAGGCTGCCCCTTTCGAGGAGCTGAAGCCTAAGCCACCAACCAAATCGCCCTGCCAGATCGTTAATCATGACTCGATAAGAAAGACATCACAATAACAACAACCATGTAGCCAAGCCGCCAGGAGCTTCAGCGCGCTGCTGTTTGCAAGCACATCCACCAGGTCAACTCCAGCTTCCAGAGCATCTCTATAGCCTAGCAAGTCTTTCAAAAAGATGCCTTTTGAGGGGTCCTCGTAAGGATGATGATTATTGTGGGGCCCGAGAAGCAGTATCAGGTAGAATGAATGTTTGCGGCAGTGTCTGCGATTGCAATGCAGACTTCCCAGATGGAAAACTCTACCTGTCGTCCGCGAACTAACTAAACCTGTCCCAAATGCACTGCAATATCCGCACAGCAAACCTCAGAATCAACATCTGCAAACCGTGCCGCTGGACACCTTGAAGCGGAAAGCCTTTAGTCTGAACATATCAAACTCCCCAAGAGCCATCAACCTGAAAACTTGAATGATTTGCGGAACGACTCCAAAAATTTCGTGTCATTGTATGAGCACCAACTGCGATCTGATGACTTCCCTGTATCTCCCTGCTTCATACGCAACAAGGCGGTGATCTGAACAAGTGAGCCAGAATCAGTGTGCAAGAAATTAGTCCCGGGAGACCGATGGCCTTCAGGAACATCATCGAAAACTTCTGGGTGCCAGTCTTCAGTGCATATACCTATCCTCAGCTCAACAGCACCAAAGCTTCTGCACCTAACGAGATACAGGGGGTTGTCAAGAGTGGATCCCGCTTTGGGCCGCATAATTATACTCGGACCCAAAAAGGAACCCTCATTTTGACAATCCTGGCATTTCTGAGAATCGAGCTCGGTCGCCTCCCGCTGCTTCTGAATGAGACTTTGCAGGAAGCTCATATCGCTTGACTCCATCTCGCCCTCGGTGTGAAACCAGCTTCCATTTCATGTTCCATGTTGATCTGCTTTTGCCTCACCCTTAGTGGCAATCAGTCCGCCGGCCTTTGGGGGCGTGTTGGATGGTCTGAGGAGACGGAAGAGGATGAAAACCCTCTTCTTTTCTCCCTCACAGCCCTAAATCACAGGAGGAGGGGCGGCAGGGAGTACCCCGGCGTCGCTCGCTTTGCCTAACATCTTTCGCTGTGGCGACTCCCCTTGCAGACCTCGAGCCGGGCATCATCACCGTCGCAGTCGCGCCTCTGCGAGCCTTGCCCCGATGCCGCTCGCAACTCCGCGCCGTCCCCCGAATCCCTTCCGAGGCGCTGAAATTAGCCGTTGGTGCGTGTCTCGGCGGCTGCGAGACGTCCGCTTCTGGGGTCGGCGGACTGAGCTGGAGGCTCTTTATCCAGGACCAGTTGCCCTCACAACGATCACACGACAGTTCGGGACCCCCTCGTCTGGCTCATCAGCCGCACGGCGGGAAGTATTGCGTAGCTGGAGGGGTCTCGCCTCGATAGCGTGGATAGCACCAAACCTATGGCAACTTGCCCATGCAAGAACAATTTTGGGCAGACTGAGTTCAACTCGATGAAACGAGTGCTGTTTGCGCCAGCTCCCACAAAGTCTGCATCGCAGACCTGCCAAGCAGCTGCTTTGCAGATGAATTGAAGATGCTGAACTTCGATAGTTAAGCGGCTAGACATCCTTTGGAGATCATGCGCCGACGGCGCCGGCGGCTGAGCATCACGGAAACGGGTAGCAACGCCGTGGCAGCCAGCGGCCGCAGCATTCGAGACGGCGCGCTGCGCTGTGGAGGCGATGCCCATGGCGTGGCTGCCCAGGTGCGGAGCCTGACATTCGAAGCGGGTACTGCAAGGGAGTTGGGGAGTTAGTGGGACTTTGCTCTTAGTGCCACGTTTGGGCTGTCATTGCACCTGGCCTTTCCAGGTTGTTCGCGTTGCTCTTCATTACTTCTTGAATCTAGAACTCCAGCCGCCTCCTAGCATTGTCACCCAAATCCCCTTGCCCTCACCCAAAGCCCATGCTTGAAAAGCTACAGTAGCTGTGTGTGAAAGGGGCTTGTCCGTGATCCTTGTAGATTTACCGTACACCGCAAACCCTTCCCTGGCATCCCAGCATTACGCAGAATATGGCCTCCGCAGTTCGGGCACATCGCAGACCTCGACCTCAAAGACAGGTTTCAAAGATTTTTGCAGCGTACTGTGGTAGGATCCTAGACAGGTGCCGGAGGTCGTAGAGGCTGCGGTGGCCGCACAGAGACCGCAAAGCTCAAGCTGTCCATGACCTGTGCGTGATTTGGGCAAGGGCGAAGCGCATCTGCCACAGCGAAGCACAGGTTTAGAGTTGTGATCCCAGATGTTGCCACAAAAGTCTTCAGGGAAAAATATCATATTTGAAAAACAAATGCAATTTGTTTGTGTATTTCATGCGTTGGGCTCATGATTATTGTGTTCGGCATATGATACGTGGACAGGACAGGGACCGCGAAGCAATGAAGGACTCAACAATGGTGTGTAAGAAGTTCAAACGTAATTCACAAGTTGAAAAGTTAACGGATTCTGCTTCTTTGAAAACATTAACAGGAAACAAGATAATTCAATGATTCTCCCTTTGGCATTTTCATGCATTTTACGCTGCCCTCCCCACCGTCCCCACCCGACGCGGGGGCTCCTGCTTTTTGCAGGCTCTCCACGAAAGCCCTCTCACCTCTCAGGATATCCAGAAATAGCAAACGTTTCTTCGGGATATAACGGTAACGTTTTGATAAAGCACGTCTATACCAAGTGACTCCTCGAGTTGTCACAATCAGAACATCCGAAGTCATAGGTTCAGCACATGCTCAGTCGCCAGGATCCTGCTGCATCAGCAAAAAAAAATCTGGGCTCCGGTCGGGTCTGCAGGAGGACCGGCTCCAGCAGGCTAAGAAACTGTGAGGAATAAAGCAGGTGGACACCCACAACCACATGGATCGCCACCATCCAAATCGGTTTGTGTGCAAGGAAGCTTCTTGAGCAGCTAGCACCGCACATTAAAAATGCAAGACAATGCTTTCTATTCCGCACGCAAAGCTCGATGTGCTGTGCCTGCACTCAGTACGGCTGATACCTGTCGCTTCAAGAAGGTTTCTCAGCATGCACCATCTGCCAAAAATGGCCTGGGCTCATATCTAGGATCAACGGCGTAGGATGCATAGGCGCCTCATCTCATACACGTGAGGCAACTAAATGCCAGACAAATCGAATAAGATCCGCACCTGCAGGCGGAGGGGCACCTGCAGAATATGAGAGAGATCCGCAAAAATGGGCAGCTTCCTTTTGCAGAGGGACCCTACAAAGAGCCCGCGGCGCTAGGATCTCCATAATTCTGATTATGGGATCCCCACAAAGGGCCTGGATTTTTGGAAGCCCCGAAAACCATGCAGTGAATTGAACACGTTTTGAGACATGCCAAAGATGGTCAAGATCAGGATCCAACAGTGTGTGGGGGGGGGGGGGGGGNNCCGGAAATTAGGGTCTTTTTTGGGGTGGGAGCTACCATAATAAGATCTGTAATATGTTGGGGTCCTGGTTTATGGAAGCTACCATGTTGCTTCAGGTACTGATGAAACCGTTCCTCTACAGTTACTGTCTGATCGGCAGTGCCAATGTAGGAGCACTTTTTGTCAAGCTTGCAGCTGAAGTCCTGGAAGCAGCCCCAACCACAAAACCTCGTTGACGAAGCGCCTGACAAGTGGGCGTACGGGTCACGGCTGGGAGCTTCCTGACAACACAGATACCACCCGGAGCATGAAGCTGGAAAGGACTCACTTTCCGGCCTCCGGCCGCCGGTACCTTTCATGTTCCCTGTCGCGATCATAGCCTTGGGTGTATGTATATTCATGATTGCAAATGCCCAGCGGATTGCCCAGTGCTTGGCTGGCGTAGGGATCCCTGTCCTTGGTGGTTTCAAAATGCCTGTAGTGTGGCACTCTAAGGTGACAAGGGCCACGGCTCTGGGATATGCAGCATAAGGATCGCCTGGGACAAGCCCATTGTAATATATTCCGATGTGGAGGATGAGCGACTTGCAATTATGAGAGTATATAATTCCTATATAACCCCTACAGTTTCCATTTTCTTTTCAATTATTCCTATCTAACCCCTATAAAACCTTAGTAGCCTGTATGTCGATAGGGATCTTCAGGTGCTGGTGCAGGAAGTGCTGGGAGATTTTCCCGCGGAGGCGGCGCACCCGAAGGGGGCCTCAGCCATGTCAAATCGAAAGTCAATATAGGGATATTGGGGGTTATATAGGGCATATATTGGGTTATATAGGGTATATATTGGGGGTTATATAGGGTATATATTGGGGGTTATACAGGGATAATGGAAAAGAAAATGGAAACTACTACAAGTATAATGGGGTTATATAGGGGTTATATAGGGTGTATATTGGGTTTATATGGGCATAGTGGAAAGGAAAATGGAGACTACAGGCTTGGAGGGAGAACTTGTGAAAAGCCTCCCTTTCAGCACCACACGCGCCATAGTGGCCACCAGCAGGAGGTGGCCTGAAAAATGTGAGCACTGACAAGAAAAACATCAAACTTTAGCCGGATCTGTGTCCAAGACGGCGATGCGTATGCCGGAGGATATGCGCTCGACCTTTGAATTCTGACTTTGTTTGCATTGCCGCTATGTGGATGTGCAGGCAAGGTGCGGTGGATAGCCAGGCGGAGGGTAGGCGCTGGGTGGGGGGTATCCAGGGTAGCCTCCAGGCACCCAAAAAAAGGCGCAGAAAAAAGACCTTCCGAGCCTTATTTCAGCCAAGCGCCAAGCCTGGCGGTGGGGCGCCGTAGTAAGCTGGCGGCGGCCTGGGCTTTCAAAAACTGAAAAATGTTGCGTTAATATTGGGTTAACGTTGGGTTAATATGGGGTTAATATTGGGTTAATATTGTGTTAATATTGTGTTAATATTGGGTTAATATTGGGTTAATATAGGGTGAATATTGGGTTAATATTGGGTTAATGGAGAATCAAATGGAAAAGAAAATGGAAAATGATATGGAAACTGGTGTTATAATTTCCGAAAAAATGGAGAAACCTTTTAGGGATCCCCACAATAAGGATTATAGTATGTTGGGGTCTATATTGCGGTCCCCTTATTTAGGGAAACTACCAAGTTGTCATGGAGATCATGGCTTTCTCCGATCTGCCAGGACACGGATAATAGCCGCCAGGAGGCGGATAACCTAGCAGATGCTAAGTCCCAAAGCAAAGGATGTGGGTGGTTGTAAAAATTATGGTCCCTTTTTGGCTACCCTAAATATTAGGAGCCGTATTATAATAGGGATCCCAAAAGGGACCGTAATTTTGACAACCACCCATGTAAAGCTCAGGTGCTAAGATCTGTACCTGGAGGCGGGGCATGCTGCACACTTTTCTTGTGAAAATGCCTTGGCTGTATACACCGTGTCCAGAGTTTTAGGAATAGGATCATAGGAGATGCTGCGCCTGGCTATGGCACGCTTCACCAAATCATACCTGCTCGGACTGCGTAAAGACTGCTGATTACAAAGCACTTCACACAAGTCATCACAAGTCTGTTTACAGGGGAATCTGTGAGAAACTGTACTTAAAACAGCGCATGCTTGCAGCCTCTCGTCATCGCTCATGGCCTTCTTCGACTCGGACGCTTTCTGGCGAGCATCGCAGATACCACTACCACTAGCAGAACTTCCGATCTGAGGAGCTATCGCGCGTTGCAACATGTACAGTCAGTCTGAAAGAAGGGCTTCAGATGGCAAATGAAGCGGACAACTACTTGAAAGACCATGGTTCAGTATGGCGAGAAGGCTGCGATGCTCTCGAGATGGAGCATTAGCTTAAGTGCATTTGATGTACTGCAGAGGGACAAGCAGCGAGATCAAACTGTCGCACATAGTGCATCATACAGTTGGTGAGAGAGACCTGCGCCACCTCACGTCCGTCGCATCCTACAAATTACAATTACAAATCTTTAGGGACCCCAGCAGGTGGCGAACGATTTCCTCCATAGACAGGATGTCTTGAGGTGCCTAGTATTCACTTTCTACAGAGCTCTAGGGCCCAACTGGCGTTCATAGAATGACTATAGGGACAAAAACTCAAACAAAGGAGAGTCAAATGGAAAGATAATGAAAAGTGAAGTGGAAACCTGTAAAACGTAGTGGCAAAATGCCAGACGGGCCTTTATGTCCAGTCTTCGTCGATGGAAGACAACATTACCTTGACCAGGTAGTATGCATGAAGCGCAGCAAGCAAGCTTAGATTACCTTCAACTTGTGCGTGTAAAGAGCTGGGCATCGCGCTTTCTTCGAGTATCCGGAGGGCAGCTTCCTTCGTGGCGAAATGCACGAAGCCCCTGATCCAAGATGCTAACTGGTTGACCAAGCTTGCACTCTCGCTTGGATGCTGAAACCATGCGTTCGGATGAGTAAGGCTCCTGCCAGGATGCCCTATCTCTGTAAACCAGAGTGACAAGACCCCACTGAGAGAAGAAGTCACCCACCTGCCACGGTGACCACTCTGGCCAAGAAAAACGGGACAGAACTCGCCATGCGTTCCTCCTCTTCACTATCTCTATCACCGATGCCGCCCACGAAAACCTCCAAACACGTTGTTGATCTTTTTGGTGTAAACTCGTTGTAGACTCGACCCTCCATGCCTTGCATGGATCGACTTCGCTAAGCATCGCATCCTGCTTTTGCTTCTCCTCGTCGTTGTCCTCCCAAACACAATGCATTAAAAACCCATCCAGCAAGGTCTTACTTCTCAGAGGTGCAGCCTTCTTCCTGGGCGTCGCGAATCCCATGGCAAGCTGCCGCTGAACGCCTGGCGGCAAATGAAGTCCCCTGCAGAGGAAGAATGAGCACATCCAAACCACACCTGGCCTGGGAAGTCTTGCCTATCAACTACCGCGCAATCTGCGTCGGCAGCAAATCTAAAACTAACAAAGGCATACCTCGGCCAAAGGGCAAGAATATAGCGGTTGGAACGTGGGGCAACAGCAGACACCAGGCGCTTCCAAATCAGATTGCAAGTTCCAAGTATTTTCCCCAGACATGTACAGAAGTTGAGTTGCGCAAGGTAGCCGTAGAAAGCCAGAACAATCCACATCTACCATCAATTCGCAGAAGGCAAGGCCGAGCTTGCGCTGTAGATTTCAGGAGGCTTGACATCAGAAGATGACAGCTTGTGATGAGACTGATGTTGGTGCCTTGCATATTCGGAGGTCTATGTACGCAGTTCTGCTTTCACCCGCATGTTGCAAAACGGGTATCCCGATTATACTGCCTGAGGCTCTGCACGGCCGGATTCCTGGCTTTACAAAACACAACATCACTCCAATGTTTGCTTCAGCAACGAATACAAGTCGTTCAGAACTCCCCCTTATCACTTTGCCGTCTCGCCTTGCGCTCTCTTGTCAGACTTCGTCAAGCTGTTCCACAAAAGAGAAAAGTTTCTACTGGTTACGATGTTGCAATACACCGCATTCACATGGGTATATGAGTGTCCCCGAAGTTGTTTGACGCCTCCTTTCACGACTGTCCAAATCCTAGCAAGCACAACTTCGCATTTCTGGGTTCTTTGGGAGGGTCGGAAAGACTACTTTCAAGGCGATTTGGGGTCGGTTTGGGATGTGACCGAAATGTCGCGACGGAAGAAGATGCGCTGGGTCGGTTGGCGACAGCATCAAAAATAACAACTCCACAAGAATCTGGGGAATAAAATCTTAGCTCTTAATAAATGTTTTGACCATGCGAGTGATGGTAAAAGTATGTTGAGTCTAGGTTTGGAACCAGGTTTGGAATTTGGACTCCAGGTTCGGAACCCAGTTTTGAACTTCGGTTTGGACCCCCAGGTTCAAACCTAGATTTCAGCCCAAGGTTTAACCCAGGTTTGGAATTCAGGCTTGAACCTCGGTTTGAACTTAGGTGTAATAATGATAATAATGGAACTTAGGCTTGAACCCCGGTTTGAACCCTGGCTTGGAGCCCAAGGTTACACCCAACCCTCGAGCGGGCAGCCCCCTCCCCCACCTGCAGACCTTGCTGAACTTGTTGTCTGCTTTTGGAGAGCAGGCAGTCATAAAGAAAGAGATGTGCTTTGAAGACAAGAACGCAAAATCCGTTCAAAGTGTTTAAGCAGCCTGTGGCAAAGGCCAACACCAAGTGCCTTGCAGGGAGACACAAGAAAGAACTTGGAATTACGCGCGTAACATAGGGAGCTACCTGCGGGGAGCCCTATGAAAACGAGTAGGTTCTAATAGGTCTTTTTTGAAGGACCCTATTTGTAAAAAAGATCTAGCTGTGGTATTAGGCTGGAGCATCCAGACCCAACCCACCCTTTGCTTTCAACGAGTGGAGCGGGATATCGTTCCCAACTGCTCACAAAGCAGATGTGATTCTCGCAAGCCTACTAATAACTGAAAACATACACAACGGCTCAACAAACCTCATGACTGCATTTCAAAGCAAGAGAAGTAACGGCATGTTGTTCACATTTCCCCCTGTTGACAGGAGTGGATGCCCCAACAACAGCAGACTCCAGGCACCAACATCGCCAGCCACGCGCCACCTTCCAATACTTCGAGCAATACGAGTACTACCACCCAAGTCAGCAGCACGACTGTGGCAAAAGTTCGGCAGAGTCATGCATGAGAAAAGCGATAGTACAGGAAGTCAGACAGTGATAGGGCTGTAAATACCCAGGCAGACAAGGCGCCCAGCAAGAGACTTGCCAACATGTTAGATGACACATGCAAAATTGTCTTGGGTCTGTGTGCACCTTGTGGTAGAATGCGATTGACGACTTAAGGCCCTCACGGAGCCTTGTTCTTCTCACCGTCCTGTGTGCTGGACTGTGACCAAACAAAGCCCATAAACAAGAGAGGCACGCCTTGGGAGGACAGACGTTGCAATGAACAACATGCCCGTACCTTGGAAAGCCCATGCATCCATATGCATTCAATCGCTTCTGGTGTAAGTTTGTGTAAGGGAGCGACTTTGCGAAGTGCTGCTCAACCTCTCGCATTAAGGTCTTCTCTCTCGTATGGCTTGTTCCTGTGGCTACCAGTCTTGAATGGCGTTGCATGGCCTCCCGCTCCTCGACTTTGTCTGGTAATCCCCCAACAAAGACCTAGCAAATTTGAGTGGGAGAGTGTGGAAGGGGTGGATACCGCCTATGAGCGCAATTGCCTTCAAGTGCTTTCGCACCGCCAACTCATCTTCTTTGTGCCTGGCTGCATGATGTACACACGACTCATGCTCTGACGAGCACTGCGCTCTCCTCATCACAGTCCGGCCAGATTGCTGGGCTGCTACGGAGTGGGAGCATGCTATTATCCAAGTGGCTGCCAAACCCTGATAAAGAGCAGGAAATGGCAGGAACATACGGATCGTTAGATCTCTGCAACCTCTGCCTCAGCTTTGGAATGCACTGTGATTTTTCCGAAGCGTTCAGTCAACTGCTTCGAAGGACATGGCCGGAATGGACGGACCCTTTGGAAGGGGCTGCGGCCTTGCTCAATGTCATCTTAGGGATGGCACAAATTGATGAAGATTGCGCATTCGGCTGGTAGAGGGCCTCTGCCAAGGAGGAATCACAACCTGGGCGAGAGATTTGGCGGCAGCCTTAGCGGCAGCCTTGGCGGCAGCCTTGGCTGTGGCACCTCAGTTCAGACCAGTCTGGGACTGAAGGCCACAGCAAGGCCAGGCCCAAGGCCGATGATCTTGCCAGGAGGCCCAGTCCTCGGTACCATGGAGAAGTCGTGCAACAAACATAGAATACGGTAAGTAAACATGTCCAGGCCACTGCATCGGTGTGGGGAAGCCCGCCTCATGGAACCATCTCTGGTTCCCTAGCGCCTTGATGTGGCCTGGTATAGACCCGTGCCTCCACTTCCTGGAAGCTGCGCTTGGACCCTCGCCTGACACATCCAAGTCAGAACTTCGGATCTTGACACAGAAGGTGATAAGCCGGCGGCTCAGCTTCAGGAAAATCCCCGCGTCTGGGAAGCAGGAAGGACGTCGGTCCCATGACCTCCCAAACATCTGCAAGCCACAAGCAGCTACGCTATCCTGCTACAATTAATCCGCTACCCCACTGCGGAGGCATCCTAAGGCATCCACAGACTCTCGCCAAGCGGTAGCTGTCGGCTTCCATCCCTTTTTTACCAGCTCCTCGTGAGTATGGAGGCTCGGTGAGGTTTCCCGAAAAATCAAGAGATTCTAGGACGATCAGCATCAGTCCAGTGCAACTCTCACCACAATTGCATTCTCGTCTATGCAGAAGGTTCTTTTGGCCTGCCGTCACTTCAGGCCAAGGGCTGCTTTCACCGGTCGCATACGGGCCTTGTCGCTCGGAGGTAGGCCAAGGTATCTTGCCATGGCCGATAGACCATTCGGAGCTGCCTGTAGTGGCCAAGCATCAAGGTATACCATGGCACAGCAGCGGACAGGACGCCTCATTTGGCAGAGCGAAATGCTGCCTGAAGACGTCCTGCACACACTCGCATCATCATGATTTAGGAACGCGAAGGAAGAAGGCTGGTGGGCTTGTGCCCAAACTCATGCAAGCAGACCGTGTTAGAAGAAGGCAAAGGCAGAGCTAGGGAGCCCTTTTTGCACAGTCTGAAACACACACACATAAAACACACAACCCTAGCATCTTTCCCTGCAATGTCTGAACTGTTAAAACCAAATCATGCAAGCTCCTCATTGACTCAAACCCGCAGCTTGGGCTTTAATTGACCAAGGACTTATGACCATCAACAAGCTTAAGCTTGCGGGCGGGTGGGGATAGAACCTTAAGGTGGCAAACACACCGACCCGTTGCCACTTCACTTTGTTTGGCATCTGATTTTGTTCCTGCCTCTCAGCTAGCGCTTAGAAACACGGAAGGGGTAACGAAAACAATCAAAACTGGCCAGAAACTGTTCCTGACATATTGGCACCGGATGACAAAATCACTCCTTGAGACAACACCACTGTCGAAAGAAGAAATCCTGGCAACAGCATGCACACAGATATGGGTGATCAAGCACAACCCGCTTTGCAGAAGCCACCTGCAAACCAGAGTCAACCGCAGCATGTCCGCAGCGCCTGGGCCAAAGATGCTGCCATAGCATCGACTCAAGCGCGTGCAAACAGGCACATGTGGGCGCCTAGGCAGCAAGTTTTGGATCTCCCAATCCCTGCACAAGCGCCGCAGCGGCAAATGCACACTAAAAACTCAAATGGCCTCGGGCTGACAAAAAGGAAGTCTTCGGGAATCACCTCGTCCAACGTGACCTGGAACGCAGGCACCCACTGAGCACCAAATTTCCCAAAAATACAGGCATTTCGTACTTCGTACTCCCCAAGCAGGTGCCATTGCTTATTATTCCTACTCATTTTTCGTACCGCCCGCCAACTTTGGGAGGCGACATCAGCTGTGTTTTTCTGGAGGAGACCAAATCCAAAGCAGCCATCCGAGCCGACATCCAGGCCATCAGTGCTGGCCCAAGGGTAACGCGAAAGCCATGCACAAGCTGCGTGGGGTGGGGGTTAACTCGAAATATAAACCATCAAGATCAGGTCACTCCTGCACAATACTGCGCTGCCCAGGTCGAATATCCACTTGGATTTCGATGCAGTGCTTCTTTGCGCCGCTACTCTCCGAATTTTCTGAATGTCTGATAGGAGCCGCCGCAGAACAACCCAAGCCTCGCCTTGCTGCCGGCATCGGTTCCTGCAGAGACACACCTCCACCTCCACTTTCCCTTCGGCGAGAATCGAAACCGACGGATCCTGCCCGAACTCCCCTGGCTTGCGATGTTTGGTCTCGTGCCCAGTCCCCGAAACCGTACGCAACGCGCCTTGAACCACGGTCACGCTTCGTATCAGCTGCGCCACGGCGAAACTGCTTCCCATCGAACTTCTAACTTCTGCTACAACCTTCTGGCCCGTCGTACTGGGGAGAACCTGACTGCCTCTGGGGTCGGCAGCTTGAGCTGGAGGCTCTTAAACGTGTCGCTGACATTACTGTGACTGCTATTGCTAGCATTACTACTGTTAAAATGAATATATACATATACATATATATATATATCAGGGGCTCCCGCACCGAGTAGGCCCGGCCTTGAAAGAATGCCATGCTAGCATGAAAGCAAAGCCAGCAAAAGCAAGGAGCCCACAGCCAATCCATGAGGTCAGCCAGAACATCGCCAAAAGCTGCAGCCTTGGTGCGGGGGTAATATAGGGATAATGGAAGAGAAAATGGAAACTATTATAACGGGATTATATTAAAGGGTTTATATAGGATTTATATAGGGTTGTATTGGGGTTATATAGGGATCCATATTCCCTTGAAAGGGATCCCTGATGGTTGGATAGTGTTTTTTGAATCTCTAAACCCTAAACCCTACACCCCCACCCAAGGCAATGGCTTTTGGAACCTCCGCGAAGCAAGCCGGCGGAAATGCCTTGCAAGTCAACGGGTGTAGGGGGTTCTCAAAACAGAGATGAAGGTTTAGGGTTTGTGGTTTTAGGGAGCCCAAAAGGGGCCCCGGGGATACATCAGGACTACAGGGGGATTTTGGAGGATCCCTACCAAGCAGGGATTCTGAAGGACTGTTTTGAGAAGCCCCCATGTAAGAGAGCAAGTCTTGCTACACAGATCCGGCGCACGGTGCCTCTCGCATTTCGGCATCCTTTTCATTCCACTCACCAGGCCTATAGTGGACCAGAAATGCTAGCAAGAGCCAGTGTGCAAAGGCCAAGCTTTACGCCTGATGAACCGGTGGAAGCGGCTGATCTGAGCTGCAGCGGCATATCTATCACTTCTTCGCCTGACTGCGTCTCTGGCCTCGGATGCCTTTTCCCAGTCAATTGCGACAATACACAACCTGATTTTGAAAACAATGAGGCAGTAGTCGCGTATCTTACCTCTTCTCTGGGCTTCATTCAGCTGCCCACTCGATCAGGTCCTCCTCGAAGCACCCTTCCACATAGCAATAGGTACAAGATAAGATGAGCCACAGTCTCAACTCCTAGTATCCCCGCTCATAACCCCTTTAATGCTCCCCTATACAATCCCCTACAAAACCCCTTTTAAGGAGTTTAGACTATAGCATAGATGCTGCGCATTCTGCACACAGAGCCGCGCCTACCCCACCCCCTGCTGCAGGTCTCGGCCCTGGCTGGCCTAGACAGGGTTGCTGTTAAGGAACCTAAATTAACTTACCACAATGGGTATAAATTGTACTCAATGTGGTTTCCCCAATATAGTAACTTGAATTAAGTTCCGTAGATGCTGCTGGAAGCCGTCTTGGCCTGGATGGGTTGTGACTCAGAGGCTCAGACCCAGGAGGGGAGGAGGTGCCGCGCCGCCGCAGGACGCCGTGAGCAGCAGTGGCCGGCTCTTCACCTAATGCCCAGGAATCGATTCCCTCTAAGGGCTTTAGGAGGGACCCCTAATAGGGACCCGTGTAGCTTATGGGGGTTAATAGGACTATATGTAAAGGTTATATATGGTAATGGGATTAAGGGTCCCCATTAGGGGCCCTCCTAAAGTCCCTAGATTCCCTTCCTTATGGTCCTGTTGTCGCAGACAGGCAAACTCAGCAAACCACCCCACATGTTACACTTAGTAAGTCAAAGCCTCTGCAGGCCATGTGCAACCCGGCTTAGTTTGGCTCAGGTGATTTTAATCAACATGAACAAGGGCCAGTGCCTTCGGCGTTTCGCCTTCCAGTGCAGGTTTCGGCGCCTTCGCCAGCCAGTCTGCCTCGAGCTACAAAGTCATGATTCTGTCCTCTGTTAAACAAGTTCTGGACCTGAACTTTGGCGATGATTTTTGAAGAGTGCAGTCCAGCCTGCCAAGACAATGTATCATTCACCAAATCCAATGAAGTCAGGGAAGCAGCAAGCTTGATCATGCACAGCCGAGCGTCATCACATCCATCTTCGTCTGCCCTTTGCTCACGGCAGAACCCGCAGGCAAACCATGGACAGACGCCACGCTCCTGAAGAGCGGAAATCCAAGTATCCGCTGAGCTATGCTGAGATGGTTCTTCACTGGTCTTTTCCACTGCTGTCAGAGGTGAGAGCTTGCCGAGACATGCGGCGATTCCGCCACAGCCTGCCTCATGCATACTTGTAGGCAGCAGTGCAGTCTCCTCCGGAGCCAGCACATTGGTCGTCGGCAGCAGCAGATAACGAAAAAGCAGCTCGCAGACACCAGAATCAGAGGATGTTTGTTGACATCTTCCCAAGAAACTAGCATGGCATGAGCAGCGGATACCACAGCAGTGAGAACTCCAAGGATGCCAATCGAGATAATACCACAGAAATATGCGAAATTGCCCGAACCAATGCAGCGACCGAAAACTGAGCAGTGGTGGTCAAAGAACATGACACACCTTTGGCACGTCCGGCAATGATGCGCCTGTCTGGGTAGCTTTGCAAAGCTATACAGCCTTCCACTCAAGTCCGAAACCATTGCCTTGTCCAGATCCCGCCAGACAAAGCATCGAACACAGAAACTTTGCTGGCCATTTATAATATTTTCCAAGGGCACTTGACTTCCCAGAATCTGCTCTGGAACAGGAAGGCAAGTTTCACAGGACCTTTTCACAACCCCAGGGTCCCCAAATAACAGCCCAAACAAAAAGCCACTTGCCAACAATGCCTCAGCGATTATCAAGCTTCGGCAAGTCCACCTCGAAGCTTCGGAGACATGATCTACATGTGATGCAGCCACCGTGGCAGCAATCAGAACAGCACAAGTTCCAAACACCGTTGCGCAGCCTATGCGTTCCTCGCGCCGCTGCTCCATACGGCTAGGTTCTGGTAATGGTGGCAAATCGTCCAACGTTGCCAAGTCGCGGTGAACATGGGCACTTGGAGGAATTGCAGCCATTGAGCTGTGCTAAGTTTAAGTTTTGCTGGAAGTGGAAGAAGCAGGCAACGAAAAACCGTAGAATGCAGTTGGCATCCTGGTTGCGGGTAACCCCTGTTGCTCATCTGCTTGCAAAGCTGAGAGAGCGGGAGTGGTACTAAGAAGCGAAGATGCTGCTTTTCGCCTGTGCATACTCTTGTGGGCGGGCGTGGGGGGGACTTTTCGCAAGAGCTTCGTATTGCTGCGGTCATGCCAAGCACGTTCTCATTGACCCGGAGCGGATCCGAAGCAATGTGTGAAGTCGATACAAACATTTTCACAAGATGGCTAGTCAAGACGGGCTTAGTGAGAGGGTGTTGGGCATCCAAAGCTGATACTCAAGCGTCAACACATGGCCTATGACTACATTCAATGTTGAAGAGAGCAGCTAGGAGAGGTCTGTACTTGCCTACTTCATGCTTGTTAGCTTGGGTGGGCCGGGTGGATGCAGGGAACAACCCGACAGAGCCCGAGCTGTTCCTGTTCTGTCTCTCCACCTGTGCTTTCCTGAAAGATATTGATGTCTGCCAGAGCCAGCGACCACGGTGCATTAGTCCACCACTACATCACAGAGCCCACCGTCCTCAGGAGACGCCAACTCCTTGAAGGCAACAAGTGCCTTAAGCAACGTGACGGCCTTGCACAGAACTTGCAGGCTTCAAGCTTTCAGTACATTTGCTGCTAGCCTCCGGCCTTTGCAACGCCAGTCTTTGCGCCCTTGACCGTTACATCTGCACCTTTGGTTGGCAGAGATGCAGTGACGTGCATGTCACACGGACGTCATTTGGACCAAGTTCTTTGCCGTCCGGAGTGGGTTGCAAGCTGATGCTTGTCGAAGTCCTGTGTCTGCCCAAGAGAGACGCTCCAGCAATGCATAAAGAGTCTCACATCCATTTCGTCAGGGTGAAAAAAAAATCCCCGAACATCTTGGATACTTTTTATCGCAGACTGTCGAGGGTCAAGCGCATACCACCAGCAAAGATTCAAGGGAATCGTGCAAAACGGGACCAGCATCAAGAAGGCACGAAGCTTGGACAACTCAGATAGACAAGCTTGCTGGGCTTGTTCGTGCTTGACAGCGTAAGTTCGATAAACAACTTCGTTTGGGCATTGTTTATTGAGGTGGCTTAGCTCTCAGAAAGTTTGGGGTGGCACTGGGAGTACAGTCAGGCAATACCTCGCCATGCACCATCTCCCTCTCGACATAAAAGAACACGGCCGCCGGTGGCGGGAACAAAGCATGGCAAAACCAGCATGTGACTGATGCTTCTCGTGTAGCCAAAAAAGGACCTTTTGCATGGAGAATACCACAACCAGAAAGGGCGTTGGAAACATACGTGTAATCCAAAGAACTTATGCCAGAAACAACAAGCAATGATGGTGCAGACTGCCGAGAAGTGCACAAGGTGCACTGTGCAACCCTCATACCAGCCTCTGCTCTATGCTCTGAGCAGGACCTGAGGCCTAAGTTCAAGAAGCAGAGGCGAGAAACCATTACAGAATATGAATGCCAATTCTCTGAGGCATCAACACCAGCAGGGCCAGATAGCTGGTGCGCCTGCTTCTTGGACACCTGGCGGCGAATGTGAAGTTGGAAACTAGAAGCTTCTCGAAAGAATGCATCATCGATTCTTGTGGATCCCTACATTCAGAGATCCCATTCATGTAGGGTATGTAAGGGGAAAACCTGGGAGAGGAACACCCCCATGATCGCACAAGGGTGTTCAGTAAGTTGCAAGAGCAAAGCTAGCCTGTATAGTCTGCACTGCATCTTCATCCGTTTCAGCACCCATTGCATCTCAAGAGGACCACGCCATGCGAGCATTCGGAGATGTGTGTTGTTGGTTGTTCCACTACCTAGTCCAGCGCAATGAATCACTGGGATATGACAGGCCTGTATTGATCAGGCATTCCAGCAGGCTGACGTGTGGTGTAATGAGTAAGCACTGCCATCGAAACTGAAGTAGGCAAACTTGCTCATGAGAAGTTGTCTGCAGCTGCGGATATCAAAGGGAGACGCTGCGCGGAAGCTGCTGTTGTTGCTTGCGATTGGGTCCATCTGTTGTTCTTGGCGGCTTGCCAGTACTCACGTCGCCCCAAGTCGGCGGCCCTCACCTCTCAGCTTGTGCAAGGTACGGAGCTGAGCCAATGCTATATAGGAACCCTTCGCCTTCGAAAGCCGTGAAAGTGCCAGCACCTGCCAAGCAGCAGAGGATCCACTTGCCTCAAAGTTGCGCAGGCTGCCTGATCCCAGAAGGCTTGATCGTTCAGTGTAGCGGCTTTCACCTGACCATCCAGCTGTTGTTGAAACTAAGCGCACCATGCTGCGCAAGTGCTGGAACCTTCGCGATCTCGATACCCAGGGCCAGGGCCAGGCAAGGGAGATGGCTCACCACCTAAACTCGAGACAGCTGAGACAGCTTCTCCCCTCCCTTGGATCCATCCTTGGAAGTGGAAGGCCCTTGCCTCCCGCGTAGTCCTGGTAGAGCCACCTCTGAAATCAGGTCATCTGCCAGGACAGCTCCCATTGTGCCCCAAAAAAGTGCCGAAATGTCTGAGGCAGGTGCCAGGCTAAGGGCACACCAAGAAGGGTGGCGACGGGGATTCCCAGAGCTACGCCATTTGCGATGTTGTACCTTTGGATCAAAGTCAGACGCCTGTGTAGCTGAGAATCAGAAGGAAGAGTCAAGCTCTCGCTGGGCTTACAAAGTGCTGCTTCAAGCTCAGTAGTGCACTAGCTCCTGCAGGTCTGGCAATAGACCATTCTACAGTCTCTTGTTGTAGACCTACTACAAGACGCAGGATATGAGCTTTCCACAGCTCGGTAAACGTTAAATTCAGGAACACATGCCCAGAAATATGACCTTTGAAGAGCATCTTTCTGAAGCCTTGCGCTCTACTACTCTTAGCGATAACAGCTCCCCTAGAAAAGGAACTTACTGGTTTCCATTTCCTTTTCTATTCTCCCAATAAAACCCCAATACTATAGTAGTCTCCATCTCCCAAAGCAAAGTCCGGCATTGCATGCTTCAGCGCACTCTGGAGTCGCCCGCGACGAGAAGAGTGGCATGTGGCTCTTGACCTGGACACTGCTACGGATCTGTGCCTCAGATTTCCACATCTTCTTACATTGAGAGCTCCACCAAGACGTCTATGAGCTTTACCAAGTCAAAGGCACCTCACTTTGTTCAGAGTGGAGTGGCCAGCAAATAAATTCCTCAAAAAGGACCTTTAAGGAGGCAGCCGTTAATGAGGCACATCATGCCCCAGTAGCACAGCAGCTGGATGTTAATCTCCTGCAATCAGAACACTTATATGTGTCGCTTTTGCAGCATCATCAGCACCAGCCTCTCTGATTCCAAAGTAGCCAACAGCTATCATGATTGCCTGATGAGATTGTGACTCAACCCAGCTCCAGCTGTACGTGTCCACCTTTCAAACTTAAGCCACAGGCCATCAAGAAGGCCCCCATTATGTCCAAAAAAAGTACCTTGGCAAAGATGCTACAGCAACTTCCGACTCGAATGGCCATGCCTGCTGAGTCATTCACTATCCGAGCTATGCAGAAAACGCCTGAGGATCGGTGCAATCAGGTCTCACACGAGTGTGCCGCTGTTTCCTGAGCCTTGAACTCTGCAGAAACAGCACGAAATTCACCCAGGGGCGCCTGCATTAGCAGCGACTGACAAGGGAGCAATCTGCTAAGCATGCCATGCCTGGAAAGGGCATAGGCTGATGGAGGCCCGCCCCTGCCGCCAGACACGCAGAGTGAAAGTGTGGAGCTGTGGAGCTGGAAACAAGGGGCCAGGCATAGCACCAACAGCTGGCATTGGGATAATCATCTTGGGAGAAAAGGGAAACCGCACAAACTGCGATCAGATCTCGGATGGACTCCAGGGTTCCCTTACTGGCATGATAGATTCCGAGACTGATTACAGCATTGTGCGGGTAGACCTTAAATGCTTTGAACCGAGACTGCGTGATACCCACACAAGTGCAGAGGGCTTTTCAAGGTGCTGCCACGAAGCCGCGTGGCACTATGCAAGCAAGTGCTTTGTTGGCTCCAGCATCAAAGGATGTTGGGCTAATGAGATATCCGTGAAACATACGTGCGCTGCAGGAAAACTGCAAAACACCCAGGCAAAGTTCCAAACGGTGCGTGGACCTCGACTTTGCGGAAGTGCCTTTGACGGCTTTCTCAGTCTGTATGGCTGAAAGCCTGACCAGCATCGCTTCACACGGTTGTTTGGCTTCAGCCGAACTCGCCGATCGACATGCGACCTAGGCATGGAAAAATCCAGTCTCACCGAGTAGTTGACAGACTGGTAAGGGCACTGAGTCTGATGCGGGGGTGTGCTTCGGGCGCAAAGGCTGCCCATCTCACCCAAGCTTTGTGGCCATCCAACTTTCGCAGGCCTGTGGCCAGATCAATCCTTCAATCTGCTTCCAGTCCAGCTTAACCATCCTTCGACACTATGCATCCCAGGCACAGTCTCCATTGTCAGAACGCCAGACCTGAGAAGAGGCGATGTCGATAGGCAAAACCACGAGGCCTTTCCACCGAGCGACTCTGGCGGTGCCATCTTTGGAGGCGGTCACGATCTCGGCGAGTCAGGTCAATGTCTGCTCGTGAAGTATGCGTTGTCATTTTCAACCCTCGAAGAAGCGTAATTCCAGTCATGCTATTACTGCCCACGCTTGGCTCGTTGTCTGCCAGTGTTCCAGGGTCATTCCTCTATTCCGAGATACATGTCAAGTAGCCCAAGGTTCCCCCAGTCCAGGGTTTGTCCTAGTACTGTCAGAGATTGAGGGTTCCAAAAAAAGCCAAAGCAATGCCTCGTTAGCAGTATTCTGATGTTGTCACGACAATGTATATGCTGATGATGTCGACAACGCAAACGCTGCGACCAGCGTACTACTACTACTACTACTACTACTACCACTACCTACTACTACTACTACTACCTACTACTACTACTACTACTACTGCTACTGCTACTGCTACTGCTACTACTACTACTACTACTACCACCACTACCACGGATTAGCACAACTACTACCTACTACTTCTGCTACATCTGCCGCTAGAACTGCCGATCATTGTCAAAGACGGCGACTGGGCTGATGCCAGATTTGCATGGCAAAGTCTAAGGTGCACACAGCACGTCCATCAGCGGAGAATGCGGCCATGCGCAGCCTAGCTTCAGCCAGATCCCCAGAGATCCAGTGTAATGCAGGGGAAACCAGGAGGCCGGCCAATCTTCATGGCCAGCCAAGGACAACAAGCGCCGACCAGTGACAGCGCTCCACGTCTTGGCCTCCAGCTGACTGCTGACCGTCTGCAATCACTGTCACTGCTTCCGAAGGTCAGTGCCGTTCCGTCACCAGAAGCTGTCACAACCTACAGCGCCAACGGCCATACTGGCCAAATTGGCAACTCATCAGCGAGACCACAAATCGCATGCTTTACAGGTACAGGTCTATCTTCACTCATTCTGAAAAGACTTTCGGGTTCTACGGAACTCGTCTGGTGATAAGAAGCTTTGCCGTCCCAATTATTCTGAGCAAGCTCGGCCACATTCCAGGTCTGCTTGTCCACCAACATTCTGAGACTTTCAAGGTGCGTTGACAAACAACATGACGGCAAATGAACTATGCTCGCTTCTCGTCTGCAAGCTTCCACGCAAGAACATAAGCAAAACGATGTGCAAACAGCAGCGGTACCACGCGGTACCCACTGTGCGGAGTCTTACTCATGGGAGAGGCTGAGGCACGGTCCTTCAAACTGTCAGGAGAGAAGGCTGCGCACCGCAACCAATCATCATGACCTCTAATTCTCACATCAACTCCGCCGAAAGGCATGCAGGCTGAAGAGAGCCTGTGATGACTAGCTTGGTCTTGCCCGTCTGCACATCAGTTATCCTGGTTATCCACAGCCAGGAACCACAGAGCTCGTCATTGATGCCAGAATATTTGTGGTACTGATATAAAACTGTCTGAGTCGAGGGTGGGGCATAATGTAGGCCAGCAAGTCTCTCACTGGTTCTTAGTAGGGAATATGGGAACACAACCCCTATACAGTATGTTCCCATATTCACTACTAACCCCCAGTAAGTTCTTTCATACAAGGACCCAGGAAATCGCTCCTGGCAGATTGATCCATTGATGCCGTGAGCAGCAGACTTCCATCATGAGAGAACTGTGCACTGAACACCTTGCCAGGCGCTGTCCTCATGGAATATCCCTATTATATACCCCAAGGGTTTAGGGTTTAATAAACCCCCTGCATAACCTATAAATCCGTTCACCCCTCAATCCTTGGTCTGAGAAAAGGTCAAATGGGTTCTCCTGCCTTCATCTCGTGCCCGGACAGGACCTTCACCTGCAAAAACAATCCCAAAAATGCGATTGGTTCTAGTACTGCTCGTACTCATAATTTTATTGCTACTGTGACTTTGATGATTACCATGATAATGATCATGATGATAATAACAATAATAAGGCTCAGAAGCTACGTAAACGCCTGCACACGAGATGCACGCAGCAGAGCAGAAGCCCAAAAGCATGGTATACGTGGCTTCTTGGGCATGTGGACACATCTTCAAGGAAGGCAGAAATGCGGCCGAAAATCATCTAAAAAAATACACAAACCGCGTTGTCGGCTGGGAGGCGGTCTCAACGCTTTTACAAATATGGAGTGAAAAAACATTGCCCTTGGTCCAGCAGAAGCCCAAAAGCATGATGAACGTGGCATTTTGGGCATGTGGAGACTTCTTCACAGAAGCTAGAAACGTGCCCGAAAATCTTGCTTTTTGCTTGAAACTGGCAAGTGATGCGCTTTCCACGGTTCCTTAAGAGCTCTTGGAACCCGAACAAAATTATGCTTTGGGCATGAATGCTCTGGTCACCATAAGCTCTTGGAACCCGAACGGAGTTATGCTTTGGGCATGGATGCCCCGGTCACCGTAAGCTCTTGGAACACGAACGAAGTTACGCTTTGGGCATGGATGGTCAGTAAAGATGGGCTCTTGCGAGAACACAGGTTTTGTGCGTTTACATAGCGGCGCGGCCGATCATAATAGCCATAGTTATAGTAATAACAGTTAAAAAAATAGCTATAACAAAAAAAATCGAAAAAATGACAACAAACATGATAACAATAGTAATGATAACATAACCATATGAGCTATCGTCTAAAACCCCTACTATCCCCTCTCATCATCCCTGTAATACTCCCCTATAGAATCTCCTATAAAATCCCCCTTTCAAGAGTTCAGATTATGGCCTCATATGAACCCTGGACTAAATTTGTAGCATATCCCTTAATAGGTCCCCCCCAAAACCCTATATAGCCCCCTATAGGTCCCCCCCAACCTAAATTTAGTCCGTAGCTCATATAATACAACAAATGCAGGGAACTAAGGCTCCCAACTCGCTCGAAGCTCCTGGCGCTCCAAATGGACACCTGGGCTTTCCCAAAACAACGGGTACTTTGGGGGTTAGGGTTCAGGGTTCTAGGGGGTACCTATAGTAAGGATTATAGTATTCTGTGTTGGGGTTGGGGTCCCCCCATTTAGGAAAACTACTACCTGAATGGATGGATGGATGGATGGATGGATGGATGGATGGATGGATGGGGTCGACCAGCAGGGATCTGCGGCCTCAGGATACCGTCCCTCTCGCCATCGCAGGGGAGCCTCCGAAACCGTTATCGGCAACCCTCCGGCTCAGAGTTCAAGGCATAGTAGACTGGCCACTTCAAGAATGCAGCCACGAACTTCCCAGTACCCGCGCAGATGTCAAAGCGCACAGGCAAGACAGTGGTGGGTCCTTGAACATGGCCACAAACTGAAGTGCCAGTGGTGCGCCCACCAATCCTCCATTCCGTCCCCAGCCTTTGGGCCCAGGCCACAAAACTACCGGCAAGGACCCAGGATGAGTGCACCAAACATTATCGGGAGCCGCCAGCATGGCAACACTTTGCCGGCCGGCGGTGGTAACAGCCGGGGAAAACTACTACCTAACGACCGCTGAAATCTCACAAGTCTGGGACTGCTTCTGCTTCGTTATTCTTAAGCACAATCTTACTGCTTCTTAGTTGGGGAATAGGGGAACATGACAGATAGGGGAGGATTATCTTCCAATATTCCCTACTAAGAACCCGAAAGTAATAGTAAGAACTAGGAATAACAGCAAGAAATATTGAGATTAGTAGCTACGAACCCAGGCCAGCCATGATGACAGCTGAACTACAGTGTAGTAGTTTCAGTAGTTTCCATGAATAAGGGGACCCCAATATAAACCCAAATATACGGTTTAGGGTTTAGGGTTGGTACCCACAAAAAGCTACCCCTGATATATGGAAACTGTAGTGACTAGTCTAGTCCAGTACACTGCACCCTTCTGAAGGCTGACGCCCACCTGAGCTGGAGTCTAAACTCCTAGCATCCCCCCTTGATAGCCCCTCAAATACTCCCCTACATAATCACCGATATCACCCTGTTTAAGGAGTTTAGGCTGGGAAATGACGGTAAGGTTGTGATTGGTGTCTACTACGCGTGCTCAACCCTAGGTGCCGAGTGATCACGCAAAAAGCTTTAGAATGTCTGGCAAGAAGGTCGCTCAAGAACATAAAGCCCTGTGCCAGCCAAGGCCCAGGCTTCCGGGTCATCTACGGCAACTGCTATCAGGTGTCCATCTGGTGAATACACCGCGCTGTGGATGCTGCGCTCGAACCTGAAGGAGCACAGCAGCATGGAGTAGCCTAGCCTCCCTCGCTAATGCATCGCACAAGACCGTGGATGAGCTCCGTGCTTGGACAAAGTGGCAGTCAAACTTCCGCTCCTTGGACGTCTCAAGATCAATCCAAATAAATTAGCCGATGTGATTGAGAACAAGCTGTGGCCATAGACTAATCGATTTTTTCTTCCGCTGTTGATGCTGGTAGCCCTGCACTCGCGAACTCTGACGCAACACTTCACCATTCAAGTTCCGCACGTCGAGCTGATACTGCAGTGCCCCACAGCATCAACACTTACCGGCTTACCATCGTTTGTTGCTTTTCTTGCAGCTTCACCAACTCAAACCAATCTTGGCGGTGCCACAGACATTGCTTTGCTTGCTTCCATCGGCACTTGCGCGCTTCTTGGGCAGTGAGCCAGGATATGAGCCAAACTTGCACTCAAGGGAACGACAGCTTATCACAAAGATGATGCAGGGGCGCGGCTCCCCTACACAGAGACAGAACCCGTTTTGCCAGTGTCATCAGCCTCAAAACGCGGCCGCTTTCACTCCCAAATGCGTGCCAAACGTATTCCAACGACGTCAATCCATTTCCGCCAATGCGTCCCGAGGTCCGTTCTGCAGGTGCCACGGGACACCCCCCCAACGGCTGCTGACTTCCAGCCCGGAAGGGCAGCAAAATTCTGGTTTGGCCCATGCCGCCTTAGCACGATCAGCAAAGCTGGGCTCAACACCAAAGCTCTGGGAGTTGCCACAGTTCAGCTCGGGTGGCTGAATCTTTGGCTGCGTCATGGGCTTCTCAGCTTTGGAAAGCTTGACCTCTTCTACGTGAATACAGAATGCGAAAGGTCGTCACAGTAGGCTTGCTGGCTATGATGGCCCATACTTGCAGGAATGTTCAAGCAGACTCACCTTCCAGACGAAACATACAACTGAAAGCCGTATGGTGGAACTCGTCCAGCATTAACTTAGTTATTCGCATGAACACTGCTTTAGAACAGCAAATGTAACACTCGAATGAAGACCAGATTCGCTGTGTCCCAGATCTTCACCGTGCGATCATGCGATGACGTCAAGAGGCTGCACCCTCACAGGAAATCCAATTTGTTACCAGGTTTCATCAGAGAAAGTCGTCAGAATGCCCTGCGGCGCGCACCATCAGGCGAGAAGAATGCCGTGTAAACAGGCCCAGAATGTCCCACCTGGCTGTTTCAGCAACTGCCCCAAAACGCCCTGAGTGTGAGATTAAGGCTCTGGCGCATGTGACGATGCACTGCCCATTTTGGCAGAGCCACAGCTTTGCAGTCTTGTCCTGCACTTCCAGGAGCTTCCAAGCAGCTTTCAGGCAGCTCCCAGCTGCTTAGGCAGTCCGTCGAAGCTGTCGCAAGCAACTCACCATCTGGCGAAAATGAAACACACATGACCTGGAATCTGGAAGGTTTAAGCTTTCAATGTTCTCCGGATCCGAGCCACGCCTGATCATCGTGCCCAGCGAACGTCATCAAACAATCACCTCACTGGCTAAATGACGAGAAGATCTGAAGAATTCATGACATGGAAAACTTCTTTACATCTTCGGCCTGTGTCTATGGACCAGAGTCGTGCAGTGTGATCGATGGACGCAGTTGCCACCTGCCCATGGCCATGATGGTAGCTTGAAGTTGATCGGTTGGCCACACATGCCTTTACAACAACATGGCATGATTTTGTTTCCTGTTGTCTTTGGAAATCTACAGCTTCTTTTGCATTAGCAAGCTATCTGCAGGTCAGTGAAATACAAGAACAAAAAAAAATGGTTTGCAATGACCGCCGCAAGAAAAACCTTCTTCACGATAAAAAAATACATGAATTTCGCACCCTCGGGACGAATTCTAGCTCTGCCGCATGAACCAGCTCTACCAAACAAGGCTTCAACTTGCAAATTAGCTCCCTGGCAAAGGCACCTTTCCGCTGCTTGCTTGGCCAACACCTCGGACAACCTGTGAAAAAATCAGTGCGCATCGGCTCAATCTGTTATGTTCATGACCCAGCAGCACCTGCAGAGTGCTGTGAGCCAACGTTTTGAGAAGCTCCTCGTCGCCCGAAGCAATGGCATCCTGCATTATGTTATGGTATATCATGATGATGGCATCTGATTGTATATGATGGTATAGAATAATATCCGCCGACCTTGGGGGGCGTGTTGGATGGTTGAGAGGGTGAAAACCTTCTTCTTTTCTCCCTTACAGCCCAGAAACGCGGGGGGGGATTGGGGGGGTATCCTGGCTGCGTGCAGAAACGGAGTAAAGTCGCGTTTTTTAGCGTGTTTGTGGGCGCGATCTGGGGGCCCCAGGCCCCGAGCCCCTGCAAATCCCAAGGCGCCTGTGGCTCGGGCCCCACCTCTGCCAGAAGCTCACGCGGTGAGGGGGTGAAAGAAGCCCAGCGTTCTTCACCAATCCGGTTCGACATGTGTCATACCAAAAGTTGGTGCCCCCCTGGCCAAAGGCTTTTTCCCCTTTTGTCTCAAATTCGCAACGCGCACGCGTGCACGTCAGCCGCCATTTGCCGTGCCTGCGACCCTCCACACACATTGTCGCTTGCACGCACGCGCCTCCGAACCAGCCGTTTGTGCGGCTCCGTATGTTCTGGTCGTTTTACTCTCTGTGATGTATTGCCGACGCCGTCTCCTGCGAGCTCTTCGAGCACACGCGTGCCGATTCAGGAACCCGTTTTGCGTCTGTGCGTCCGGCGATACCCGATACACGCGCATGCGTGTTCGCGCGCGCGTGGGCGACACACTGACGCCTGAGCGGTGCGGCGTCCTGTCACAACCGCTCATGCCACGTTGCGACACTCCACTTGCCGCGTGGTGGTCCGTTCGTGCGTCCCTTCTCCGCCTCTGGGGTCGGCAGACTGAGCCGGAGGCTCTTGAGTCCGGCCTGGCCGTCATGGTCCAGTGCGGATGCAAGCCTAGCTAAGCTATGCTTATGGGGCGCGGCCCGTTCCGCCGACCCTCCCTTGGAGGCCCTGGAGGTGCGTTTTTGGGATCAAAAATTAAGGTGATCTTTGGCTGCGTTTTTGAAACTTCTCCCCACGCTACGGAGGGTTTTGGGCATGTTTTTTTGAGCCAGCATCATCAGCACAATTGGGCCTTCGTTTCTCATTTTTGGCCACC